TGTATAATATATAATATATAAATGTATATATATTTATATATATATATTGTATATATATATTGTATATATATACAATAATATATATAATATATAATAGAGAGAGACATACACATATATATATATATACAAATATTCAGTGCAAGGATTTGCGACAAACGGTGCAGGTATCGTCGTAACATGATTATTATTTATGAAAAAAGAATTATTATATTAATGATATGATATCTAATTGTTAGTATTTAAAAAAAAAAAAAACAAAAGAAGGATGCTTAACATAGTAAAAGATATTATCATAATGTTATTAGCAAAATCATGATAATTCGTTTGAATAATTTTCTATGATTTTGAATTCTTTTTTTTTTATGAATGAAAATTTTCATTTCATTTTATCGTTCGTACCTGCAACCATTCCTCGTTTACCTCGACATCCGCTTCATCACCCTCGTAAGACATATTGTTATCGTTTCCTTCCATGACCTTGTCGTTTTCCTCATTCACTGAAGAATTTCTTACCTCATCCTGATCTTCATCTGTACAAGATTCATTATCACATTCGATATTCTGTTCAAGTTCCGGACCATTTTGTTCATAATTGCATTGTTTTCTATGCTGTTTGTGTAGGAAATTACGTGAACGTGCCCTTACTGCAGGACCACAAGTTGCTGTACAAGAACTCCATTCACTCCATTCGGTTAAAGTACACTTTTCACTACCCAGAATACCAGAATTGTGACCATTATTTCCACTAAGAATAATATTATTAATTATTTATTACATCAAAATATCTTTTTGAAATATATTATAAGATCATTTTTTGTATATATTTATATATCATACAGAATGTTTAATATATATAATAATAGGAAACACAAAATTAATTAATAAAGTTCATATAAATATATGTTTCATTAAGTTATATACTTTTACAAGTGAATAGAAGAAGACATACAAATAATTAACATACAATTCATATAAATATATATATTTTTATATATATAAGTTATTTAATTATTTTTATGTCTCTCCTAGAAACCCCATATTATGTCTTATTAGATGTATGAAACTTTTAAATTATTTTTGTTTTAAAAGAAAAATTAATATTCCAAATATATATATTCTAACATTTTGTATATATTATTAATTATTTAATTTTTTAATTTGTTTTAGTTTAATAATATATATATTTTAATGTATTCCCTTACCATTCTTCTTCGTAACAATTTATCCTACTCGTTAACAGTACGTTACATTTGTTAATTACAGCAGCAGTTATGTTGTGATACTGTCGTTGTCTTAGTTTACTACCTCTACCACATGTTACTGAACATTCGCTCCAACCACTCCAAGAACTTACTCTGCATGCTTCTACAAATTTAAATGAGATTATTATTTTTTCAAGTAAATAATTCATTAACATCGTTATTTATAAGGGTATTTTTTTTTACAGTTAAAACACTTAACTCATTATTTAAAAGCATAAGTATAAAGTTATTACAGAAATAAATTAAATTAATATTCAAACATATAAAAAGTATTTGTTTTTTAATCAAAAAAAAAAAAAAAAGTAGAAGAAGAAGAACAAGAGGATTTTCTAAAAGTTTTATATAATCAGTGATGCAGGATTATTATCAGATTTAAGCTTTTATAGTTTACCTCTCCTTCAGTTAAAATCCATTATTATTTTGATTGCTTAAGGAATACTTTTCAAAATTATTAAAGGAGATACACGAAGCACAATATATTTTTATCGTTTCATTTTCTTTTTTCTATCTCTTTAAGTTTATTAATTATTATATTTTTTCTTTTAACTCTCAAATTTATT